GTGACGTAGAAGGGCGTTTTGGGGTGTGTCGCGGCCGCATGTCGTCATGGCGCGTCCCCCGAAAGCACAATTTCAACCGAAAATATCTCAGGAACGCTTGGTCAGATCGAAGTGGGACCTTCACCATTGGACTCAGCGTCCGATACTCTACGGACCATGAAGTTTTGATTTTTGGGTGAAGTTCCCCTTTAATGTCAAGGGAGTTCGTTAACTTGCAATGTCCATGTTCGTTTACCCTTCGGTCAAAAACCACTTCACCTAACCCACTTTTAAGCGTTTGTGCCATGCGCATGTTTATTCCATTTTGTTTTCTTCGTTTCAGGTCTCTCACAAACACGTATCTGCCTTCACGGCATCTGCCCAATGTGAGCGGGCTTCGGTACCTTCAAGAGCTGTGAGTATACGAGACCCAGACACAGTGCATAGGTTGAGTCTCAGTGCGGTGTTCCCTAGAGGCAGTATGGCTGTCATTCCAGAAGCAGATGAATGAAGATGTGTGCTGGTGGTAGATATTCCAGAAGCAAATGAATGAAGATGTGTGCTGGTGGTAGATATTCCAGAAGCAGATGAATGAAGATGTGTGCTGGTGGTAGATATTCCAGAAGCAAATGAATGAAGATGTGTGCTGGTGGTAGATATTCCAGAAGCAGATGAATGAAGATGTGTGCTGGTGGTAGATATTCCAGAAGCAAATGAATGAAGATGTGTGCTGGTGGTAGATATTCCAGAAGCAGATGAATGAAGACACTGTGCACATGTACTAGTGGTAGATATTCCAGAGGCAGATGAATGAAGATGCTGTGTACTTATGATAGATAAACCAGAACCAGATGAATGAAGATGCTGTAAAAGCCTTGCCTCGTCGTCTGATGCTGTTGGTGCATGTCTTGTTCATTGCATGCAGGGTGGCAACAAATTCTGGCATCACCAAGATTGCGCCGGGAACGTTCCTCAACATGCCCAGCCTGAAGAGAATGTATGTAACAGGTGGAATAGCCTTGATGGTCTGCTGAGAAGGGGAGGAGAACTTGAACTAAAGGGGGGGGGGGCACACATGTCTAGCATATGGTTGAGCGGACTACTGTACCGATGTGCCCTCCCCCCCCCCCCCCCCCCCCCCCCAGTATCCCCTTTCTATGCCCTGGGCTATGCCAGCAGTCCCTTGCCCGCACAACAACCCTGGGTACCGTATTTTCAGGAGTATAAGCCGCACCCAGTTTTTTTCTGCATCATCATCATAATCTCTTACTGTTCTCAGCTTCTATTAAAGGGGAAGTTAAGGCAAAAATTAAAATTTCACCAGTTGTAGTCTTCGGGGTGCTGAGTCGAATGGTCTTGGTCCGAGAAAGCTGAGACGCTCCCTTCCTACTTGAATCCCAATCGAACTCGCGTACTTCCACCGAAACTGGGTGACTGCACCCTACTAGATGGGGATTTGTATGCAAAATGTCACTAAAAGCGCCGTTTAGTTCCTATAAAAGCACGGATGACCGCAGTTGGCCCATATGTTGTAGTCTTTTGGACGCTGAGTCGACTGGTTTTGGTCCGAATAGGCTGCGATGCAGCGTTCCTCCTTTATTCCCAATCGAACATGGTTGAACAAGTGGTCACGTGCTCCTGGGTGCCCAAATCACCTGGTCACCACGCCAGCAGGCGACAACTTTCACACCAAGGTTCAACTCGAGTTCAACTCGAGTGACAGGACTGCACCCAAAAAAGGTCAAACAGGCTAGTAAGTTGTACCCTGCAGGCACGGTGACCAGCTGACTGGTGTACGCAGGCGCACGTGACCGCTTGTTCAACCATGTTCGATTGGGAATAAAGGAGGAACGCTGCATCGCAGCCTTTTCGGACCAAAACCAGTCGACTCAGCGTCCAAAAGACTACAACATAATTATGGGCCAATCGCGGTCATCCGTGCTTTTATAAGAACGAAACGGCGCTTTTAGTGACATTTTGTATACAAATCCCCATCTAGTAGGGCGCAGTCACCCAGTTTCGGTGGAAGTGCGCGAGTTCGATTGGGATTCAAGTAGGAAGGGAGCGTCTCAGCTTTCTTGGACCAAGACCATTCGACTCAGCACCCCGAAGACTACAACTGGTGAAATTTTAATTTTTGCCTGAACTTCCCCTTTAACCCTTTCACTGCCAGCTGACCACTCAAGGTGACAAGGCGCTCCCTGCCAGGCTGTCAGCTGAGCTGTACACCCCCTCCCTGCCAGGCACTTTTTACCTCCAGGTCGAAAAATCGAAAGGCCAACTTCTCATGGATTTTTTGGTACTTTTTGTACGGAATATCGCTTTCTAAAGTATACATCGTAGGTAGACAACTCATAAAGGAAGCAATTGCCGTCGAAAAAAATCGCAAAATCCGAAGTACAAACGTGCTGCGCGCTCTAGCGCCAGCCGCTGTGCAAAAATGCATGTCATGTCATGCGAAAGTGCGCCGTGCGCCGCATGCGCTACATACACTATGTACACGACCGGCCCGGACACTCGCGAAGTAAAGTTAGTTGTTGTTTTGGAGAGAGAAGCAGATCCTTAGGGGCCGTCCGCAAATATCGAACGTTTTTCACCAAACGAATTATTTTAGTTTAGACCCAACCCCTCCCTCCCTCCCCCTCAGAACGTAAAAAAAGTTTGACATATGCATGCATAATACAACAAAAGTTGCAAGTGTGTAACTGCTCCTATGTACATGTACATGTATCAACGTTTTCTGAAACGAAATTGGTCAACCCCCTCCCACCCCATAACGAAATTATTTCGTTTCGTGAAAAAAGTTCGATAATTGTGGACGACCCCTTATTTTTTGTTAGCTGGGATTGAAAGATCTGCCAGTGGACCGGAGAGCTACAACACTGGAAGCAGAAGAGATGGCGTGCGGAATGTTCTCTGTCTTCGTGGCAACAGGACTTCAGTTGCGAGAGACTTTCGTCCTGTTGTTGCGGACGAAATTCTTGTTGCTGCCACCAGAAAACTCGGAGAACGAAACGATCGTAAGTCGTTTGGTGAAGCGGATCGTGTCGGTGAACAGCTGCGGAATGTTCTGCCGCCATGGTGGTCGTTTGTTCTCCCGATTAGCAGCAGTCCGAATACATTTCGACTTCGGAGAGTGAAGCGCTTCCCGGTTCCGTTGACAAGCGCGGCGTTCGCGGGTGTAATGCACTTTCGCATCAGCTTGCAGTAGATCGGCAGGTACTGAGCCAGAGGTAGGTGTCGTTGTAGCTGACATATTGTAGTGTCTCTTGACTGTGCTGGTCGCCATTGTAACGTGGTAGGCCTTAGAAAATTTTAGTTCTGGACTCAGTGAGCGCCGCCAGCGCTGTTTCCGCCAAGTTTGCAGTGAATGCGTTCGTGAGGAATCCGTCGTGTGGTTGTCTCTACCCGTGACTCCAACCGCCTATCGCAATGGATAGCCGCCTGGAGTCTTGGGCAATAGCTAGGCGTCAAGTCTGAACCAAATGTCGTGCTCCTTGCAATGAAAGTTGACGGGAAAGAGAAAAAAACTGGCACCGACTCAGCAAGGTGGAAGTGCGCCCCGTGAGAACCGATTTCTTCCGCGCCGCTCGGCTAAAAATCAGATGCGCATTTTCAACGACGCTGGTTTGATTTTTTTCAAATGGCAACCTATGTTTCTGGCAGCGTATTTCGATGGGTATGGACCTCTTCTAGGGCCTAGTGGCCATCTACCACGGCTAAACATCTCCAATATTCAAAAATAGCGGCCCAAACTGGGTGAAGTCTGCCTGTCGACAAAAGTCGACGGTGGCACTGGGGACTGCATGTTTGCTTGTCGACTTTCGTCGACAGTGGCACTCAGAGTGCATGAATGCGCTGTCGACTTTCGTCGACAGTGGCAGTGAAAGGGTTAAGTACGTTTCTGGGAGATTTGGGATGGTTTGTACGGGGCAGACATTGCCCTTTACCCGACCGTATGAATCTAGCATCTGGACCGCAGAGAAACTCTAATCATGTGAGATCGATAATAGTACAGTCAGACCTCGCTTATCCGGTCCTCTTTTATCCGGATCCCTCGCCATCCGGAAGAAAATAGTTGGTTACATATTTACAGCACACGTGACGCATCCAACTTAAACGGTGTTCGGTTATCCGGTTCCCTCGCCTATCCGGATATTTTTGTGGAATACAGATGTGTGCAATTAAGCGAGGTCTGACTGTAGTCACTTGGGCACTCAGTGGTGAAGGCAACACACCGAGCGAAGTACCCATAGCTCGAAGACCAGAGTTGCGTACGTACGCTTGGGGCTAGGGACTCTTGCTGCTATCTGAATCATTTGTCTGTGGTGAAAGGAATCTCAGCTATGCAAAAAGTGCAGCTATTTGAGGTCATCGGTGCAGGGGGGGGGGGGGGGAGGGGGGGGGGGAGTTATTACATGTGCTGTGTAGCCGTTGTACTGATATGTGGTTTGCTGCCTTTTTGGTCTGTCCCAGTGATCTGTCGGACAATTCCCTCACCCATCTCGACCCGGACGCATTCGAGGGCGCGTGTGATCTTCTGACACTGTAAGTTCGGGGTAACGTAATAGTGACTGTCGTGCGGCGAGGTCTTGCTCGGGTCTGGTGCAGTGTCACTGTGTGCTGCACAGTTAACATCATGTCACTCGTCCCACGGTTCGCTCCAGGGGAATTGCTCAGAGATATATTGAGGCTGCGTCGGATAGAACAATGTCTTCTCTGTCTCACATGCACACACACACACGCACACACACATGCTCTGTTTTCTTGGTCTGCAGGACTCTGAACAATAACCGGATATCATCCATTGACCCGTATGCCTTCGCTCATCTGGATGATCTAGATAGCTTGTAAGTTCAACTTTTTCTTCTTCTTTCTTTTTCCAGTCTTCGCTGGGTTGGACAGCCAGAATTCGTTAGCATTTCGCGCCCCTTACTAGCAAAACTCTGAATAGCAGAGCTGGTTTGGATTTGCAGTGTCTTCTGTAGTATGTGTGTTCACTAACTTCACTTGGGCCGTAGTGTACTTCGATGAATCTGCAAAAAGGCTAAATACATCTCCTGAAATGACAAATCCGTTGATCCCCGAGCTGCAGAGAGTGCTCAATCTCCTGAAATGACAAATCCATTGATCCCCGAGCTGCAGAGAGTGCTCAATCTCCTGAAATGACAAATCCGTTGATCCCCGAGCTGCAGAGAGTGCTCAATCTCCTGAAATGACAAATCCGTTGATCCCCGAGCTGCAGAGAGTGCTCAATCTCCTGAAATGACAAATCCGTTGATCCCCAAGCTGCAGAGAGTGCTCAATCTCCTGAAATGACAAATCCGTTGATCCCCGAGCTGCAGAGAGTGCTCAATCTCCTGAAATGACAAATCCGTTGATCCCCGAGCTGCAGAGAGTGCTCAATCTCCTGAAATGACAAATCCGTTGATCCCCGAGCTGCAGAGAGTGCTCAATCTCCTGAAATGATTAATTGATTGTCATGCACAGCTACATGTAACAAGTTAAATGTCTTCATGGGTTTTTCATTTGACCCGACGAGACCACACGACGCTTGCAGACCACAGCATGAACAGTTCACCAGCCACACTCCACGAAAGCAAGTAGTATTGTAGTATTCAGTGTCTGCTCCAGCGCCGGGTGAGCCGGGTAATCCACCCGGTTGGGCGGCGCTTGGACCCGGTTGAAAATATAGTACCAGGTCACCTGTGACTCGGTTGGTACTTTACACTTTCGAACTTTGAAAGAACTGACCACATGGCTTGTATGTGTCAGATACTTCTTCTTTCGTAGTTTTCTAATTCCTGCCCTCTCTTTTCTAAATGCGGCTTATCCATTCGCCGTTATATCATTGAACCTAGTTCCCGTTTATTGTCCGAATTAAAATAAACCAACCAACCAGTTATGTGCCTCGGCTGGTGAGACAGCGTACATGTGTACCCGGCTACGACCCGGTTGAAATGGTTGCGCCAGGTACACGTGTACCCGGCTGTCCTACAATCCTAGAGCAGACACTGGTATTACTCCTGACAAGTCTTGTTTCGTTCTATAAAGATGACGGGGAACTCATCAGAGGAGAAGCAGTTGTTGAAACAAAGAATTATTAAATGTCTTCCTTGACTATGCCATGGTGGACAGGGAACAGGGTTTTTTTCCCCCCAGACAGGTTGCCTTCGTACCAAGGTCACCGGGATGTTTAAGTATGGTTTGGAGCGTGATGTAACCAGATTCGACACCAGGTGGTCTTTTATAATTATCAGATGTTGGTCATGGAGGCAGGCTTACTGCAAAAAAGTTAAAAACCGATATTTAATAAAGGTTTCTTCTTCAGAGTTTTCCCTTTTTGGTCCCTCAGGCATATGGATATTTAAAAATAAGAATATAAAAAAGCTTTCAAAGGATCAGTCAGGGAAGTGAACTGCCCGAAAAGAGAAAAAAAACGCCAGATCCACCAGGACTCGAACCCGGGACCTTGCTTGTCATGAGCAATGCTCAAACTATCTGAGCTATGGGACCAGACCGAACCTAGAAGGTGCTAACAAGTTTTTCACTCCAAATGCCGCTCACAACACGTGCCACACGTACTGATGGCACATGATCTTGTTCCCTCCCCAGTGGACCAAACGTCGGTCAGTTGCTGGAACGTACTACCAGTGGTGAAAGAAAGTGATTATTGGGAGAACTTCAAATTTCAAAGGATCTCTAAGAAAAGATTTTTTTTCTCTTTTCAGGCGGTTCACTTCCCCAACTGATCCTTTGAAATTTGAAGTTCTCCCAATCCTATAAAAAAAGGTTTTTCTCCTTTGCCAGCAGCTGTGTATTTGCCGTTCATTAGTGGTGAAACGAATATACCGAATATTCGGATATTCGTTCGGTTTGTCACATTCGAACGAATATTTCTCATGGCGAATATTCGCTAACCGGGTATGCAGAGTTTACCAGGCGACTTCAAACTTCCGTAACTTCGCGAATACTTGACCGAACCACTTCATCGAAAGTTCCATCGGCATTAGAAAACTCTCAGCTGTCGTCTCGAAGCAACCCGGACGCGATCCGAGGTCCTGGAATGGAGTTATGGCGGTCGAACGAAAATCACGTCTTGAGCAGTTTTTTGAGCGTGTAAAATGCACTTCAGCTGGGGATTTTGTGAAAATTGACCTAAAAATGATGGAGAAATATGTCCCCGCGTTTGTCATGCCTAATAATAGTGGCAATATCCAATAAAATGACTGAGAGGAGGGTGTGTGATGTCATCCGTGTTAACGAAAGAATATTCGTTCGTTCGTTCGTTAAGCCAAAGAATATTCGGCTACTGGGTTTTGATATTCGTTTCACCACTACCGTTCATACTTCTGTCATGATCTGCTGCTCGTGCTGTTGTTGGTGTGCATAGATTTCTGTCTGGCAACCCGTTCACAGAGCTCCCCGACAGCCTGATCGGGTTTGAAAACTTGCGCATGCTGGAGCTTCGAGAAACGCCGGACCTGAAGGTGCTGCCGAAGAAGCTCTACCAGCTTCGGCACCTCGAAGCAGCGAGTATGTACTACGAGTCGCACTGCTGTCTCTTCAACAAGCCTGTGAGTGTGTGGATAATGTTCTGTGTAGGCCGGCCCGCACAGAGAGTATGTGCATTAGCTGAAGCATTTGCGGCATTGTGCATGTTTCTAAGCTGGGCAAGCAGTATGCCGTGAATATCGAGCGTTGGTGCTTCAGCGAGTCATTCGTCGGATATTTCCATGCTCAAATTCTCATTCCATCCTAGTGTTGACAAGGCAGTCATGCACACGGCAGTGTGGAATGCAAAGCAGCGGAGTTTGTAGCGTGTTTGGGGAACGCTTTGCCGCAGCGTTCTCGAACCAAACCCATTCCATTGCGCTCCCTGAAGACTAAGTTACATTCGATATTTTCTTGCCAGTCACTATCAACCCACCTCAAGTTCATACTGCTAGGTCAGTGTACATTAACAGCAAGCATTCCCGCAGCACTAGGTCTGACTGATAAATTGTCACAACAGCATGGAGTGCACTCGGGTGACCCGCAGTCGGAGTATTACTGCCTCCTTGAGTGGACCACCAGTTTTGGAGAACGTAATTTACAGGGTCTACTGGTATTGAGTAGGGGTGAAACGGTTCCATGTTTTTCATGTTCGGGCACCCGGATGCCAGCATTGTTTCCCACGGTTCGGGTATCGGTTCCATGCACTCTTTTCTCCAGACCGACAACATGCGTTCGCGACAATTATTTTTTAGAAAAAAACATTTTTACGAGCAAGAATGAGACATCGGAGAGTCCAAGTGCGAAGAAGATAATGACCAGAGAACTCTTTGGAAGAGTGGGGATCGTAAGGTAACACACTTTAAATCTTGAGTAGACTTGACATGTACATGTATTTGTACAAGAACGAGATTTTTCGAGTTTCGGTTCGAAATTTGACGGAACGGGTACCCGATTCTTTTCAGCTGGTGGTTCCAAAACCGGTTCCTTACCCGAACCGTTTCACCCCTAGTATTGAGCCTTGGCCCAGGAGCGCTGCGCCATAGCACTTTCCAATGGAATGGTCTTCAATGCATTTGGAATATTATCAGGGCGTAGTGCTGTCAGCACTAGAATGCTGCATGAGTGCAACTGGGGATATTCGCGGAACACTGCATCGGAGCCTGAACTCCATGCCCAGAAATCTGCAAGTTCTGACGTTTCAGCTGATCTGCCAGATGGGTTACTGGCCGTGAACAAGAACGCCTGTTGACGTGCCTTTTTCCGAGTTTATGCTCTCGTTCAGTGTTGATGTGCCCTTTTCTTTATAATTATATAGAAGAAATCACATGGAAACGAGTTATGAAGCAACTATCCACGGCTGTAACAAGATAATAAGCAGTCGGAAAGTGCGATAACAGGGTATTTATTGGCTCCGTATCCTTTTTCTTTGTGCTCTCGTTTCAGTTTGACGAGGAGAACAATGACATCGCCAGGAACCTGACGGCCTACCAAGTATACACTCAGAACGACTGCAGGTCGTACACGCAGACGACCGTTCCGCCGACGGTGGGACGCAACGCCACCGCCGCCACCACCACGGCCGCGGGGCCGGTCACCACCGAGGAAAACCTGTTCTGTCAGGTCAGTCACAAACCCACTACATGCCGTAAAGTACCGCTGATCCGCCCCCTCTCTAATTCCCGCCCCCTTTCGATTTTCTACCTGTGAAGCGACTTCGGCGTATACACCAAAATACGAAGTTGAACCGACGCATGCACTGCTGTACACAATATGTGCCAATTATTATTATTATTATTATACGCATTCCCGCGGCAGCGTCAACCAAGCAGTTATGCTTGATCCACACGTTCGCTTATGCTGGACATTGAAACAAAGCAGATGTAGACAGCTCCTAGAGAATGGGGCTCTACAAAACCAATGATCGAAGTTAGTCCTTCAGTAACATGGAGCGTCATAAAATTGGTCTCATTGGAAAAATGTCATCACTATTGTCTCCTCATGTAGCATCATGGTCAATGGGTGGCCAGATAATTATACGTATGAGTTTGAGTTGCCAGATAATTATTAAAAGATTCAAATAGTAATATTATTATAGAATGGTTGTTATGAGTTTATAAGGGTGCCATGGCTGTTTCTACTTGTGACGAGGGTGTGCACAAACACTCTTCACCAGCGCGTTCCATGCTGTACGGTCCACAGCAATCCGCTCCAGACGGCGCAAGTCCTCAACACTCCGCAGGTGCCCATTGTTCGACTGGGACAGATCGGTGTGGAGCTTTATTGGTAGTGTCACCCTCGGCCTCCCACGGTACCTCCCCTCGGGTGCCTGAAAGTATTGCTCCATGCTCAATCGTGCTGGCGTGTCCTTACCCAGGCGAAGCACATGCCCGAATAAACTCCAGCGTGAATTTCGGATCAAGTCCGACACCGGCTCCACTCCACATCGGGCATACAACGCCAAATTACTAATCTTTTGTGGCCATGTGATGCCGAGAAGTGACCTGAGTTGCCTTCTATGGAAAGCGTCCAGGGAGCGTTCGCTAGCAACCGTCAGGCCCCAGGTGCCTGAATTATAGAGAAGTATCGGCATGATAAAGGCGCAGTACAACCTCATACGCAGAGGCTCTCGGATCAGTCCTCGGCGCTTCCAAAGAGACCACATGGATCGGAAGGCAGCCTCGGCCAATTGCCTGCGACGTGTCACATCCTCAATGTCGCCCAGGAGTGAGCCCAGCTTTCGGGATGTCCTCCAGCGCTCGTCAATTCTGTCTACAGATCGACCCAGCTCTGTCCACTCAGTTTTGGTGTTGTTGACTCTCAGGGCCCACTGCCCGAGAGTGTGGTCTATGACCGGTTCGAGCTCTGTGAGCCATTGACGACTAAGGCTTATGAAATCAGTGTCATCTGCGTAGACAAGCTCAAATGGAATGTTGATGCTTTGATCCATTGGCGGTCTGTTTCGTGCCACCTGGGTGCTCCTCAGATCTCTCAGTGCTGCCTCTAAGTATATAACAAACAACACCGGGGAGAGAGAATCACCCTGCGGGGTGCCAATTGTAGTTTCAAGGGACTCTGATACTGCCCTGCCGATGCGTACCTGCAGAGTTGTGTTGGTCAACAGCACTCTAACCAGCCGAACATCATCCTCCGTCAGGAAAGACTCGAGAACTGTCAACAGTTTGTCACGATGTATACAGTCGAATGCTTTGGACATGTCGATTCCAAGAATGGTCATTTCCCGCCGATAATGCTGACATGTTGCTGCAAACCATCTGTGGCTCCAAACAAGGTCCGCTGTAGATCGGCCTGCTCTGAAACCACTCTGCGTCGGAGACAAGTACTCACCGACTTTCGACGATATTCTTCGCAATGTAATAATGGAGAGCGTTTTGCGTAATGATGTAAGGAGGACAATAGGGCGCAGATTTCCAGGTGGTCCAACCGTCTTTCCTGGTTTCTGCAACGGTACCAGTGTGCCACATCCCAGGTCAAGGTGCTGGTGAGTTGTAAACATGCTGTTGAACAGACAGGCAATGTGAGGTGCTAGGTTTTCTCTTCCATATTTCAAGAGTTCGCCTGGGACTCCATCTGGGCCAGGGGACCTTCCATTATTCAGTTTTTTCAGTGCGTTGGAGACCTCAGCAGATGAGATTTGTCTTTGGAGGCTTCTTGGGCGATCGGTGAATGGCTCGACGCCTGCATCCACATTCCCACGAAACTGGTCATGGAAGTGGCTCCGGACCGCAGATGCCGCCTCCTGGTCATCGGCTATGAAGCGACCCTTCTGGTCATGTACAATGGGCTTTCGGCTTGGCTTTCTGGTCATCAACTGGACTGCTTTGAACATCCGTGCTCCATTCTTCAACCTCTCGACTTCCGCTGCTCTCTCTTGCATAATTTTCTCTGCATTGTCGTGCCAATCCAGGATGAAAGTGTGCACAATCCAGCACACCGAGTCTGATCCTCTACGTTGTTGTACATCGTACTGCACTTGACAGCCTTGATCTAATTCCCGCCCCCTGCCGAAAACCCAGCTGGGAAGCGACATGGCGTGGGGGGGGGGGGGGATCAACGGTGCTTTACGTTACTGCGAATACTGTTAAAAAAAAGTAAATTATCGTTTCCATTCCCCGAAGGGAACTCTAGGCGGTCGCTATTAAAACACCCGGTCAAGCCTACTGCCAATAGTCTGTCCCCGGGGAAAATTGCGGAAAAAAATCGCAAAAAAACACGGGGAAAAACGCGGCATAATATGGCATAATTTGCTGTGAATTTGCGGTAAATATGCGGTAAATATGCGGTGAATGCGGCAATTTTCAGTGAGTATGTAGTGAAATCAATCAGCTACAAGTCTCTGGTGTAATCACTCGTCATATTTGAGTAAAAGGCCGGCACCGTGAGACGTTGCTGACTGAACAGTGCACTGTGTGTACGTGTAATGCAACAAAAAAAGTTCAAAAAACGCGGGAAAATCGCGGAAAACGCGGTCTTTTACAAAATCGCAAAAAAAACGCGGAAAAAAACGCGGCCGCGGAATCGCAATTTTCCCCGGGGACAGAATAGTAGGGGTGAAGCGAACAATACAAAAAGACTTTTAAGTGAATGGGGACCCATCGAAGGCTGGCGTCGTCCAGGTTTTACAGTATTCAGTTGCTACGTTTCTTGAGTTCAATGTCGATGCGTAGCTCCAGACGTTCACCAGGCCCCGTGGTGTGCATAGAATGAACGGAAACTTGAGAGCCTGGGGAGAACACACAGTATGTGTACTTGGCATCACACAGACATGTTGAGGCACTGGGTTCCCTTGATGTTGGAATTCTGTGTTAATCCGGTAACAGTTATCAGTCCAGAAGTGGATGCGCCTCGAACTATACTGTACAAGCAGAAATATTCGTCTGAAATTGAATTTCGTCTTTTTCGTTATCTTCAAAATATCGCTATTTGGTCGTCCACTGGTGGCAAGGAATGTTCAACTTGGGAATCCGAGTCTGTTGCCTATATCTCCAGATACGGGGTATTTTATAGCATTTGCTGCTTGGGAGCTTTTAGTGGTGAAATGTGGGTTCAACGTGGGTTCAGTGTTTGAGATGACTAGCCTCGAACCCCCAGGTCGCTTCCAGAAGAAGTGATTGCTCAGCGCAGGTATTTATTGTAGTTCTGCGTTCTGTGTTCTGTGTGTGTGTTTCTGTTTGCTGGGCTAGCTGGCACCTTTTCACCCTCATTGTCAGAACCTAGGACGACGGCGGAAGCGCAGGGACGCGGACGGCTTTCAGCCGGCGTGTCACGACCGGAACAGCGACGGCGATGACCTGACCGGCCTGCGCGTCGTACTCGACCCGGTGGAGCTGTGCCGGCAGCTGGAGGAGGCGCGCTCCATCCTGGGCGAGATCACCAACAAGACGACGTGGACGCAGGTGTACCAGGCGCTGTTCCCGCCGACGCCCAGCCCACCGCCGGGCAATGTCAGCGACGTCCTGGTGGGCAGAAGGCTGGTCAACTGCACACCGGTGCCCGACGCAGCGTTCACGCCGTGCGACAACCTGATGACCTGGGTGTGGCTGCGCGTGCTGGTCTGGTGCGTGTTCATCTTCGGCTTCGTCGTCAACCTGTTCGTCTTCCTGGTCATCGCTTTCAGCACCAAGCGCTGGGACACGTACCGCGAGCTCACGCTGCACCTGGTGATCGGCGACCTGTGCATCGCTCTCTTCCTGGGCGTGCTGGCCGCTGCCGACCTGTCCACCAAGGACGATTACGCGCAGCAGGCGCTCGGCTGGCAGAAGAGCGCCGGCTGCAAGGTGGCCGGCTTCATGTCCGTCGTCGGCTCGCAGGTCATCATGACCACGCTGATCGTCATCACCTGCGAGCGCTTCTTCAAAATCACGCAGCACCGCAAGCTCAAGCTGCAGTACGTGCGCCTGCTGCTCTACCTGGGCTGGCTGTATGCCGTAGCGTCGGCCACCCTGCCACTGTTCGGCTTCAGCGACTACTCCACCGTGGCGACGTGCATGCCGTTTGAGGCCTCCTCTCTGCGGAGCGAGGTGTTCCTGAGCTTAGTGCTGTCACTGAACGTCATCATGTGCATCGTCATCGTGGTGTTGTATACGAAAGTCACCGTCTCCACGTACCTGAACAGCCGGCGGTTCTTCACGCACACGCGCAACAAGCAGTTCCAGGAGCACCAGTTCCGCACGCTGAAGCGCAGCGCACCGCTGGTGCTGAGCACGCTGACCTGCGTCATCCCCATCGCCGTCATCGGCCTCATGTCCGTCTTCCAGCAGGCGGCGCAGATCGACAACCGCTGGTCCAAGGTCGTGCTCGTCATCATCTACCCCATCAACTGCCTGGCCAATCCGATACTCTACGGCTTTGGCCGCAAGTCCATGTTCTACGACCACATGTTCGATTTCCTGCACCGGCGACTGGGCTTGTGCGGGAAGAAGTTCCACCACCGGCGCTCCATGGTCTTCTTCCACAGCCCGAGCAACAGCCGGCGCGGCAGCATCGACAGCACCACCAGCAGCATGTCGGCACTGCGCCGCGGTCTCAGCATGCCCATGGCCATGATAACACCGCGCACCGCCGGCCTCCCGGCACCGTTCCGACGCTCGTCCTCCGACAGTGCCATACAGCCGCACAGCGCGGCCATAGCTGCACTCCGCGGCGGTCCAGTCCCCGGCCACGGTGCAAGGACACCGGATCGCGATAGTGCCTACAGTAGCAGCAGCGGCAACTCAGACCGGTAGGTTAGGGCCCGTTACAAGTACCGGTAGTGGTGCATTGATTTCTAGGCATTTCCTCCTTCGTGTTGCTGTCCCTCAGGCGTTTCAGATCCTGCATGGGGAGAATTTTCTGGAATTACGAGTGTGTGTGCATGCATGTGTTGAGGTTTGTGTCCGTATACTAGCAGTGTGTGATGTGCACATGTGGGTATAGATTAGATGTGAGGTACATCAGCTAGTAGATCCTAATCAAATCATATGCTGCAGCCAGGCGTAGTGGGATTGTCTAAGACCATGGCTGAGAAACTCAGAAGGTACCGGGTTCAAGTCCTGCTTGGCAGCGGAAGGATTTTCCAACCGTGCTGCGACCCGCAGCTAATTAAATTGGAATCTGTGGCCTGGCATACGCCGTTACTGTTGTTGCTTTCCTGCAGGCTGGGGCGCTGCTTCCCGTGCATAGCGTCACGTGAGCGTCGGCGCTCTACGCGCGAGGAGACGGACCTGGCCGAGCAGTTTGCCATGCAGTTCGCCGCCTCCATGTACGGCGGGGGCGCCCGGCCGTCCACCGACACGCAGCTGACCACGGTGACCAGCCGCAGCGCGCTGCACTACCACAGCAGCACGGGCAGCGCCAGCAGTGACCAGGAGGAGAATGGTGACGTGGGCCATGCCGCTCCCAGTGCTGGTGGTGGTCATGAGTTTGGACGTCAGCTCTCGAGTCCGCCGGTGGAACGGCTGCCTGTCGTAAAAGAGTACGAAGGGTACGTGGTCGATCCAACAGTGCAGCAGATTGAATCTAGCTTATAGCACATGCAACTACTAGAGAGTTTATTGACAAGGCTAGCTGTTAGTATCGTTATTGTCACTAGGCTGTGCTTGACCCAATTAGAAGCTTTTGTTCACTTTTCCCTTTGCCTTTCCCTGAATTGCGGCCTAGTCTACAGGAGTAGTAGTGCAGGTACCGACGCTTCTGCTTCAAGTCAATTGAGCCGATCTATCACCTATCGCTTATCGCAAACTAGTATTGTTTGTCCCTTCCTGTCCTCTATAAGACCATGATTTATATCCGTTACGTTGATGCGCCGATAAACGATTCCTGGCAACAGATAGGCGACCCTGCCCTGCATATATTTTCGAACAGAGTGTTCTTGAGAGATAGCGAATGGATGTAATCTAAAGACTATTGACTATCTAATAGAACTATATCTGTAAGCGCGGATGCTAAGATCCGGGGCTATCGGCGGACTAGCACACCTAGGAATGATAGCGTGGATTGCGCAACTCTTAGGTAACAGCCGCTGTACAATGCGCCCATGGACGCACTGGCCGCGAAGTGCTCGCGCTCCCCAGTTTTCTCTCAATTATCTCTGATTCTTCTGCACTGTTGGTGCAAAGAGCAATCCCTTTCCTCGCCGTACACCCATTCTATTTCCCTTGATATCAACCTGACATCTGCATAGTATAATTATGAGAGAAATATGTTTTTGTACATGTATTTACAGAAAATCTTACATCACTATTTTACCTTCACTATTGAGGAGAAATATTTTTTTCGAATGGAACTACAATGTTGAGAGAGCTCAATGAAAAAATTAGATTGCTTTTTTTTTCGAGAATTGTGCTCTGTCGGCGACGTGTCTTGCGTCGGTGTGGCTGTGGTGTTTGGCTGCGTGAGCTGCTTCCTATGAGACACGTCCATGTACATAATGGTGCTTGACAGTGACGTCAGAAGTCAATAAAATTATACTCCGGCTCTTATCAAGAGTGCATAACCCCCAAGAGTGTGCAACTCCCTGCTGTCCCGACAGAAATTCAAGTTCCAGTTGATGTCATTCTTGTGATGCAGTGCTCCTCGCACAAGTGAGTTACGATGTGTGTACGGGTGTCAAGTTTGTCAACGCATCACACGTGTTTCCTCGAACTAATTTGTACAGGATAAGAATGGTATTCTGTCCCCGGGGAAAATTGCGGAAAAAAATCGCAAAAAAAGCGGGAAAAACGCGGCATAATATGGCATAATTTGCGGTAAATATGCGGTGAATAATATTGATGTGCGGCAATTTTCAGTGAGTATGTAGTGAAATCAATCAGCTACAAGTCTCTGGTGTAAGCACTCGTCATATTTGAGTAAAAACCCGCCACGATGAGACGTTGCTGACCGAACAGTGCACTGTGTGTACGTGTAGTGCAACAAAAAAGTTCAAAAAACGCGGAAAACGCGGTCTTTTAAAAAGTCGCAAAAAACGCCGGAAAAAACGCGGCCGCGGAATCGCAATTTTCCCCGGGGACAGGGTATTTGCCCAAGCACAGGTCCAGAATACGTATGATAATACACGTACAATGCACATTGCATCATAAAAAAAATGTTTTTAAAAATGATGTCAACTATTTGAAATTCTGTGGGGCCAGCACCCATAGTGGAGTTGCACTTTCTTGGCGGTTATGTACTGTAGTACTAGCAATCTTGTGCTCTATTAAAAATAGTCCCGGACTCCGATCGTAGTGATCGAAGACGAAGTATGGCATCTGGTGCCGGGTAGCCGCCACCAGATCATCTGGTGCCGCGTAGCCGCCGGCCTTCATGGCCCATTCCGGGTGTGACTACTGAGTTTCTGTCACTGACTCGCTGTGTGTGACTAGTTGAGCAGCGGGTCCCTAGTTGGCATAGCCGGGCTCAGTCCACATACACGCCAACCTGGAGGCTCGAGTTCCCTGGACAAAAAGGCTAAATTCCCTTGATTTTGACCACTTTCCCTGGGCATCATTTTTTTTAGTGTATCCATCATTAGCAGGACGTACTTTCATCAGTGACTGCTGCTCAAGCAAAAAGAGGATGTCATTGCATTGAGCTGTAACTCAAGTCGCAACTCCTGTTTTGAGTTGTTTTTCTTCTCTCTTTTTCTTTCCCTACTACTGAGCCTTATGCACAGATATACAGCATTCCCTCACTAGTGGGACCATTGTTATTAGGCTAGGGCCTGTTTTGGACTTCCCACTCTAAATAAAGAATACAAACAACAAACAAACAACTGCACAAGTAAAATTTCTGTTGACTACCGGTATACCGGCAATCCGTTGCAGTTCCACAAGGTTTCTTCTGTCTACTACAGTTGCGCTCACTGAAATCCGACCCAACGTGCAAAGCTGGCGCCCTCAACTTCCACGGCCCTTGACGCCCTCGAAATGGAATGAATGCGGCTGGGCGTACACATGTACACAAGTCATACAATGATGTAATCGGAACTGGTCTAGGGCGTCGGATTTCAGTGAGCGCAACTGTACGTGCTGCTACATGTACGTTCTGTGTGTACTTACAACGGATCTACACGTTCAAGGAAACACTGAAAAAGGAGAAAAAACTGTAAACATCGTTTTCAAATGTTCCATCTCAATCCCTGGACTTTTCACAGGATACCCTACAGCCGACCAAGGGTCTCGGCATCACAGCTGCACATGTGCACCAAAGGAAACAAAATGGGGAGTGGAAGGGCGGGGAGGGGAGCAGGAGAGCAAGAACTCTAACTAAGGGTAGGAAAGAGAGGAGGGGGGGGGGGGGGGGGGGGGTAGGAAACCAGGAAACTTGTTATTCCAAGATATGAGTGCAAACTAGTACGCAAACAAGTACAAATATAGCAGTATCAAGATCATGATGCTGAGGCGAAAGTAGAGGCTGATTGCCGTGCACATTTGACGAAAGATTAGAGTGAGAATGGAGGAGAGTTAGAGAGAGATAAAGACAGATGGATTGGGAGTTTGATGAGAAGGGAGTGCTCCGAGAACATTACAGGGTCGTACTGGCAGTAGCCTAGGGGCGATGTCCGTGGCCAATGACCAACCCGACCGTTTCAGGTAGCGGTAGGTCAGACCCTTGAACTGCTGCATCCCTTTGGCAGACGGTGCATCGCGGAGGAGAGTGGCTGGCAGTTCATTCCAGGCTTCGATGAGGCACTCCGGGAAAGAGCGCAGCGCAACATTGCACGATCTAGCAGGTAGGGCTGTCTGGAGTTGAAGCTCGTGCGCAAGGTTGGCTGCCGAGCGGCGACATGTGGCAGGCGCGATGGCGGGTGCGATGGCTCTGGCTGGGCGTGTCGCTGCAAGAGCTGGTGGGCTTGTCGAATGCTCCTGCTATGTCTACAGCCAGCACGCGGACTGCGCCACCACGGTTGACTTCGGAGACCCAGGAGTGGTTGAGAGACGTGAGAAGGTCAGATGTGCTGAGCCCCTGCCGGAAGCCGTACTGGTGGATGGACAGAGCCTTTTCATGCTCAAGATGATTGATTATGGCAGTGTTGACAATCTTCTCCATGACTTTGGAGACAACAGATAACAAGGACACAGGTCGGTAGTTCTTAACAGCAGAATGAGATTGATTCTTGTGGATCGGGACCACACGGGCTACTTTCCAGAGAGAGGGCTGGACATGGCACCGAAAACAGAGTGAGAACAGCTTGGCAAGTGGTGCAGCCAAAACTTTTGAGCACTGCTTCAGAACTCTGGCAGGGATGCCATCGGGTCCGGTAGCCTTGGTTGGATCCAGCTGGCGGAGCTGGCGCTGGACTGTCGCTTCCCGAAATCGGACAGTTGTCAGGGCAGATGTACACCTAGGAGGAAGGTCAGGAAGGTCGGAGTGCTGTAGATCTTGATCACCCAGACTGCATTTGCTCGCAAAGAATTCTCCAAAGCAAGTAGCCTTTTCCTGGTTGGTGACATATTCTCTGCCCTGGGCATTGCGTAGGACAGGGATAGACGAGCTGCGGCCTGAGCCTGCAGCTTGTTTCAGGAGTGACCACCATTGCTTGTTTCGCAGTGATCCATGTTTGAGCCAATCTCGGATGCGGGCAGATTCTGCCTGCTTTGCGAGACGAAGGCAATTGGCAGAGGCTCGGACTTTGGCATTGTAGTCAATGAGTTGCTGGTGGCAGGTGGGGTGTCTCCTGAGACGGTTCCATGCATTCTTCTTTGCCTGGGTAGCGGCTGAGCATTCCGGCGTCCACCAGGATGGATCTGTTGGTTTCGTCGAAAGTTCTTTGTGTGGGATGAAGCGATTCATGCCTTCCATGACAACAGCAGTTACTGATCTGCAGGACGCCTCGGGGTCTTCTGATATATCCCAGTTTGCTGTTGAGTAGAAGTGCCGAAGCCGGCCCCAGTCTGCCTGAGCATACCTCCAAACGCGCCGTTTAGTCGGTGGTTCGCGGAGTGGGGTGGCATCAAAAGTGGCCACAACGGTGGCATGGTCTGATGCTCCAATGGGGTCCAGTACATTTACCACCACTGAGGTCTCCGAGAAGTCGCTGAGTATGAGGTCCAGGGTGTTCTCACCACGTGTCGGTTGAGTAACGTGCTGGTGGAGCCCGTGGAACGCAGAGAGTTCTTCCATGTATTCACCAGCCGGTGTAGTCTTCGTGCTGCATAGCCAGCTTTCATTATGAACATTAAAAATCCCCCGCTATCACGACGCTGTTCCCAAGGGATCGAGCTTGATCCATGACCGAGTCAAGATACTCAAGCAGAGAGACATCTTGTCCAGGGCACGAACCGGGTCGGTACACTGCACATACAACTACTTTCTGGCCATTGTCCAGGTGCAGGCGAAGCCAGATGACCTCATGGCCATGGCAGTTGATGTCACTCAGGTGGTCAAAGGAGAGGGAGTCCCGGACCCAGACTGCAACTCCGCCACCTTGAGCAGATTGGTCAAGTCGGAGGGGTGGGTGGAAGCCCGGCATGGAGGAGTCAGATAGTGAGGCTTTCTCCGGGGTGAATTTAGTCTCTGTTACGATGGCGATGTCAGATCTGCTCCGTGCAACAGCATGCTGGAAGGCTCCAAACTTTGACAGCAGCCCAAACGCATTTGTCAGTAGGAGCTTCGTTACTGGGTATGTCCTTGCGCAGCTGGTGTTCATTGGTGTTTGCGTGGCTGAATCGCTCCAGCTGAGGCAGCCTCTGCCTCACTGTCCCTATCGCCTCTGCTGCCCACGTTGCCGGCGCCAGATGCACCAGATGAGCTGTCACCCTGCGGCCGTTTGCGGTGTCGCCAGGCTCGAGCGTAAAGCGGTCGTGGCCAGAAGTTCGCAGCAGTGACTGTTTCTAAGCCAGTGGCGTCGAGCGTCGGGCTGAGACTTTCCCGTCTTCCGTGGTGTGCATGCTGCACTCATGGACCTTGACGGATTTGGCCACGGCCACAGATCGCTGCTGAGTGAACTCTGTCACTCGCTCCTCTGTGCAATCCGCGTGCAGATTTCCCACATACACGACTGCCTTCCTTGTTTGGTGGGGTTCTTTGGATACTAGTTTCCACGATTCATCAGCGATTGGGTCGAACGATGTTTTCTTGGGCTTGACTGGGGGGCGCCCAACAGTCTGAAAACTTTCGTCTTCCTCGCTCGAGATCTCACGATCACTGCCAGTGTCATCCACGTGTACGCGTTTGAAAGCGCTACGGTGTTCTCCTGCTGCTGCACCAGTGCACTTGGTGACCTGGTCTCTTCGCGTACGGGTACGAGATCCCTTCCGCCTCGCGAAAGGCTAAAGGGACAAGCTTATCTATTTTTGCGGATTTTCTTTCATAAAAAATAAACGTCACAGGCTGCTCTTCGGAGGTGTCCGC